TCGTAGAGTTTCTAAAAGTAAAAATAAAATTAATTTAGAAATAATTTTTCTTTTATGTATCGAAAATTCTCACCTGAAATAACCATATCCAAATATTTCATTTCCTTTAGTACCTCATAAGTTAACTCATTATTATTCTTCTCCAAAACCTCTCGAATTTCCTGACGCAATTTCTCTTGGACCTCTGGATTCAAGGCCAATTCATAGAGGCAAAATGAAATAGTGGTGGAGGAAGTATCAAATCCTGCCAAAAAGAATACCATAGCCTGGGCAGCCAATTGTTCCAAGGTCAGGCCACCACTCATATCATCCTCATCCACCTGTTTTCCTTCGGCAATTAAATTATCCCGCTGATGTTTTATTTCAATTAACATATCCATAAAATCGTTAAATTTTATGTTAAGCTTCAAACGATATTCAACCGTTTCTTTTACGGCCTTCATAAAGAATTCCGCCACATCATCACTAAAGGTTTTCATTCTCAGTTTTCGTGCCAATTCAGGATTGGTGAACATAAATCCTTGTACGGGGTCCGAATGTCGCGGCCTTTCAAATATCGATCTACCCATTTGATGAAATTCCGCTTGGGAATCTATTAAACTATTGCACTCAATACCAAAGGCACAAGTCCCAATGACATCGGCGATATAACGGGCACACAAATCCTTGGCCTCTATTACGTCACATGCCGTTTGGTCATTTTTGAACTCAAAAATGGCTGGCTCCAATTTTTCACCCACCTGCACCACAGTGGGAAACATAAATTTCATTTTACCCGTTGTAAATACCGGTGAAAGTTTATGTCTCAATGCCCTCCATTTTTCACCATCCAAAAATAATAGATTTCCAGTCAAAGGATCATCACGCACATTGTGAAATAAACCACGATCACTAAAACTTTGAAATTGTTTAATCATAATATCTTTGATGATATCCAAATCCATGACAAAGGCAGCTGGTGTGGTGAAGGTATAAAATCCTGCAACAGGTGTGGTGTTTTTGAATTTCTTATAAATCCTCTCGTTAATATCCTTCCAGTGGTATTTGCGACCCAGCCCCTGCATATTACCAATAAATGGCCATGGTTTTTCGTGTGGAACGTTGCGTTTCTCCCAATACGAATACTGTTCTTTTAGCCAGACAGATAAGGCTATCACGGAAAGCACCAGCAAGGATAAAAATATCATACTTGATCACTTGCGAACCGTCGGAGTTCTAATGTCTTCGAATAAACTGAAACTGAATGAAAATACCATTATTTTGAAACGCTTCAATTCAATGACTAATGGGAAAGAGAACAAGTACTCTCTTTCCACTCGGACTCTTCTTCATTTTCAACCAAGTTGTTTGTTTACATTTTTTCATATAAACCCCACATTCCCCACACAACAACAACAAATCACCTAAATTTTCAATTGAAAGCTCCAAATAAATACACTCTCATTCACCGGTTTTTACGAGGGCTCTCAGAACAAGCAGTACAACACCAACAATATAACCCAGAGGAGTATACAAAGCACACACACTCACTCTCTTCCTCACGTATTCTTGCTCATACACACTTTGTGTTGGAGCCTCACTCATAGAGGCAAATCAATGCAAACAGTATCCCCCATTTCATTCGGCTAGCCAAACGAACGCAGTTATGCTCCCATTTCAATAAGTTCTTTCTCTCATTACCTTTCTCTCACTATTTATATTCTGTCCCCCACTCGTGAGGCTCCCCAACAAACAAAACAATGTTAACAAACATTCCCCACTGATGTAAACAAGACACTGACTCTCCCACTCTTTTTAAAAGGGGAGACAAACAAATGCATGCATTCTCGTTCATTCGTTTGCGGTAGTTACACGAATAAGTTAATGAATGCTCAACCGAGCAGTCATTTCGTATGCCATTTGTGTGTTGGAGGCTCACACACATAAAGACAAACACCGGCAAACGCAATGCCATTCAATGCTAACAATAACAACTATGACAAAATACTCTCTCTCTCTCTCATTATCATTCTCACACACTTCGTGTTATGGCTCCCACACTTGGGGCTCTCCAAACAAGTAATACCGATTGATATAAACAAGACACTGCTGGCTCTCCCTCACTTTCGTATGGCATTTGTGTGTTGGAGGCGCACACACATAGAGACAAACAAATGCTAAATACAATGCCGGTCATTCGTTTGTGCGGTAGCCATAGTTCTCCATGCAAACACCAACAACAATGAAACAAACAATATTCTTTGCCTAATCTTGTTCATACAATTCGTGTATTCGTGTGGGTCCCACTAATACTCTCTCCACTGGTATGGGCAAGTCACAAGATTACGGTAACGCTCCAATCTCACAAAACAAGTTCAGTAGCTCTCTTTTTATTGTTGCTGGTATAATTCTTATTAGAATCTAGTTTATAGGTTTAAATAGCCCAAATATAGGCGTAGATTTAAAAAAAATTAAAACCCTCAAATAGAATTTGTAGTTATCTTCTCATTAATTTTGAATGATATAAATATGAGAGTCATCATGTTTATACTTGCTTTAATAATAGTCTATTGTTGGAAATTGACGAGTGTGTTTAGTTCAATTTAAGCTGTCAAGTGTTGTGCGAGTGCTTGGTGCAAAATTTCGGCGAGATGATTTCGCTAGTCGAAACTCTACTGCTTGCCTCCGTTGGCCTACTGATCGGATATTTGTATAATCTCTATACGTATTGGAAGCGGCGTGGGGTGGTGTATGAGACCCCTTGGCCTTTGTTTGGCAATTTTTTGGGTATTGGCAGTAAATATCACATTCGAGATGTAAATCAACGTTTGTATAGGAAATTCAAGGGTCAAGCCCCCTTTGTGGGTACCTATATGTTTGTGAGGCGGGCATCGTTAATTATCGATTTGGATTTAATTAAAAATATTCTCATCAAAGATTTTTCGAATTTTCATGATCGTGGAGTGTTCAATAATGTCGAAGATGATCCCTTGACGGGGCATTTGGTGGCCTTGGAGGGTGAACAATGGCGGGCCATGAGAACGAAGCTGACACCGGTGTTTACCTCAGCTCGCATGAAATATATGTTCTCCACCGTGGTAAAGGTGGGCGGAAATTTATCCGCGGTCATGCAAGAAATGTTAAAGGGGAGCTCGGATCAGATATTGGAAATCAAAGATGTCTGTGCCCGTTTCACCACTGATGTCATTGGTACCTGTGCCTTTGGCATTGAATGCAATAGCCTGAAAAATCCTGATGCCGAATTTCGTCAAAAAGGCAGAGCAATTTTCTCTAAGCCACGCCATAGTCCCCTGGTGCAAATTTTCACCATTACCAATAGTAATTTGGCCAAGAAGCTGCACATGAAGCTCTTTCCCGATGATATTTCCGAATTTTTCATGAGTGTCATAAGGCAAACGGTGGAATATCGGGTGCGGAATAATGTCAAATGTAATGACTTTATGGATTTGTTAATTGAAATGAAGGCGAAGGATGAAGAAATGGCCCGGGAAACGAAGGGCATCGATTTGTCACATGGCCTGACGTTGGAACAAATGGCTGCTCAGACATTTGTTTTCTTTTTGGCCGGCTTCGAGACCTCATCGACCACAATGTCATTTGCCCTCTATGAATTGGCCAGGAATCCCGAAGTTCAGGAGGAACTGAGACGAGAAATTATGGAAAGTTTGAAGAAGACTGAGGGAGAACTGACCTATGAGTCGCTGCATGAAATGCAATATTTGGAGCAGGTTGTGGCAGGTAAGTCAACAATGAAATAAATGGTTTATATTAAAAAAATGAAATTTTAATTCCTCTCAGAAACCCTTCGCATCTATCCGGTCCTTCCGAACCTGATACGTTTAACTAAAAACGACTATCAAGTACCAAATACCCAACATGTTTTGGAAAAGGGCATTATGACCGTTATACCCGTGCATGCCATCCACCATGATCCTGAGTATTATCCTGATCCTGAAGAATTTCGACCATCTCGCTTTACACCCGACGAATGTTTGAAACGTCATCCCTCCGCCTATTTGCCATTTGGTGATGGTCCTCGCAACTGTATTGGCCTACGTTTTGGTAAAATGCAGACCAAAGTGGGTTTGGTGTCACTCTTGAGAAATTATCGTTTTGAATGTTCTCCCCTGACGGAAATCCCCTTGGAATTGGATAAGAAGAATTTTTTGGCATCACCCAAAAATGGATTATATTTGAAAGTTGTACCACTGTAATGTGAAGTGAAATAATTGGGATAATAAATAATATTTTGAAAAATTTATAAAAAAAATCTTGAGGCCCTAAGGTCGATATTTTTTGTCTCGAGAAAAAATTCTCGAGACCCTAAGGTCGATATTTTTTTTATAGAAAATATTCTCTATATCGCAGACTCGATAATTTTTCTACAGAAAAAACTCTCCAGACCCCAGTTTCGATATTTTTTTAAGAACAAATTATCGAGACTCTAGAAAAATTTCTCGAGACCCTAGGGTCGATAATTTTTCTATAGAAACATTTCTCGAGATACTAGGGTCGATAATTTTTCTATAGAAAAATTTCTCGAGATTCTAGGGTCGATAATTTTTGCTATAGAAAAATTTCTCGAGACCCTAGGGTCGATAATTTTTCTATAGAAAAATTTCTCGAGACCCTAGGGTCGATAATTTTTCTATAGAAAAATTTCTCGAGACCTTAGGGTCGATAATTTTTCTATAGAAAAATTTCTCGAGACCCAAGGGTCGATAATTTTTCTATAGAAAAAATTCTCGAGACCCTTGGGTCGATAATTTTTTTATGGAAAAAATTCTCGACCCTTTTTTCTATAGAACAAATTATCAAGACCCCAGGTCGATATTTTTCTTTAGAAACATTTTTCAAGACCCTAGAGGCGTAGTTTTCTGTATAAGAAATTGTTTTGACACCAGGGTCGAGGTTTGTTAAATAGATATTTTATTTATTGTATTTTTTAAAATAAGTTTCGAAAATATAATGCACACAGCCTCCTCTCTCCCTCCCTCCCTCTACAATGCTGAAACCTTCAGATATACCCCATTTTTGGGTGCCGTCGACATATGATGATTATTAAACTGCAAAGGCTGTTCCGTGAGGGGACAGAATTCGAAACGATAACTTCTCAAGAGGGAGACCAATCCAATTTTAATTTGCATTTTACCAAAACGCTGACCAATACAGTTACGGGGACCATCTCCGAACGGTAAATAAGCCATGGGATGACGTTTCTCACATTCTTCGGCGGTAAAACGATCGGGATTAAATTCGGCTGGCCGTTCATAATACTGAGGATCGTGATGTATCGAATGTATGGGTATTATGGTCATAATATCTTTTCTGATAACATACTGGGTATGAGGTACTTGATAATCATTTTGGCAGACTCGGGCCACCGTGGGTGAGGGGGGATAATAGCGAAGAGTCTCTGAAATGAAAAAATGAGATTATGAGATTTTTTTGTTCGTTTACTTTTATATAATTTCCACTTACCTGCCACCACATGATCCAAATATGTCATGTTATGTATCGTTTCATAACTTAGCTCCCCCTTGTTGTCCCTCAAAGAATCCGCAATTTCCTTCCGCAGTTTATCTTGAATTTCCTGATTTCTGGCCAATTCGTAAAGGGCAAAAGTCATCGAAACCGAAGAATTTTCAAACCCAGCAAAAAAGAATACAAATGCCTGGGCAGCCATTTGCTCCAGGGTCAGGCCATGTGACAAATCAATACCCTTCGAGGCCTTGGCCAATTCCTCATCTTTGGCTTTCATTTCAATCAACAAATCCATAAAGTCATTACATTTGATATTATTTCGGACACGATATTCCACTGTTTGGCGTACCAGACCCATGAAAAATTCCGTGATGTCATCGTGCAGTAACTTCAAATGGAATTTATTTGCCAATTTACTATTGGTCAGGGCGAAGAGGTGCAGCAATGGGCCATTACGTGGCCTTGAAAATATTTCAACACCTTTTCGGCGGAATTCCGAATTGGGATCTTTTAAACTGTTGCATTCCACACCAAAGGCACAGTTGGCAATGACATCGGTGGTGAACCTCGCACACAAATCTCTTACCTCCAAAATTCCATCCCTCTTCTCCTTTAAAATTTCAGCCAAAGTTTCATTGAAATTCTCTCCAACCTTCAACACGGTGGGGAACATATATTTAATCCGTGCCGAGGTAAACACAGGTGTCAGCTTCGTTCTCATGGCCCGCCATTGTTCACCCTCCAAGGCCGCCAAATGACCCGTCAATGGATCATCTTCAACATTACTGATACCACCGCGATCGGCGAAATTCGAAAAATCCTTTACCATGATGTTTTTGATTAAATTCAAATCCGTAATCAAGGCTGCCCGGCGTACGAACATGTACAGGCCCACAAATGGCGCCCGACCTTTAAATCTCCTATAGAGACGTTGATTTATATCGCGGACATGATATTTAGAACCAATTCCTTTAAAATTGCCCAGAAATGGTAGGGGTGTTTCATGTGGCACCCCTTGCCTCTCCCAATAGGTATGGTGGTTGAGTAAATAGCCAACCACCAAACAGATGCCGAATAATATAAATAAAGCGAACATTCCGCGGTTGACGTGTGTGTTACCGTGCCAAGAGTCCGGAAAATACTGGTGGTTGTGTGCGCAGAGAGAATTTATTCAACTGACTAAATTGTTGTTTATTTTTTTTTCTTGAAAATAAATGAGAGAAAAATAACGTGGAAGAGAAGAAGAGAGAAATATTTGCCGGTTGTGTTCGGCTAGAAAATGGTCGGAAAATAAATGTAATATTACAATAAAACTCGAACATCGGGTCGATATTTTATCTATAGAAAAAATTCTCGAGGACCTCGGTCGATATTTTATCTATAGAAAAAATCTCAGGACCCTAGGGTCGATATTTTTTCTATAGAAAAAAATTCTCTAGACCCTAGGGTCGATATTTTTTCTATAGAAAAAATTCTCTAGACCCCGATGTCGATATTTTTTCTATAGAAAAAATTCTCTAGACCCCGATGTCGATATTTTTTCTATAGAAAAAATTCTCTAGACCCTGTGGTCGATATTTTTTCTATAGAAAAAATTCTCTAGACCCTGGGGTTGATATTTTTTCTATAGAAAAAATTCTCTAGACCCTGGGGTCGATATTTTTTCTATAGAAAAAATTCTCTAGACCCTGGGTCGATATTTTTTCTATAGAAAAAATTCTCTAGACCCTGGGGTCGATATTTTTTCTATAGAAAAAAACTCAGGACCCTAGGGTAGATATTTTTTCTATAAAAAAATTTCTCTGGACCCTGGGATCGATATTTTTTTATAGAAAAAATTCTCTAGACCCTGGGGTCAATATTTTTTCTATAGAAAAAATTCTCTAGACCCTGGGGTCGATATTTTTTCTATATAGAAAAAATTCTCTAGACCCTGGGGTCGATATTTTTTCTATATAGAAAAAATTCTCTAGACCCTGGGGTCGATATTTTTTCTATATAGAAAAAATTCTCTAGACCCTGGGGTCGATATTTTTTCTATATAGAAAAAATTCTCTAGACCCTGGGGTCGATATTTTTTCTATATAAAAAATAATCTATAATCTATATAAAACATTCTCGATATTTTTTCTACAGAAAAAAAATTCAAGACTCTTTTTCTTCTATAGAGAAAATATCAGGACCCTAGGGTAGATATTTGTTTTAATTCTCGATATTTTTTCTAAAGAAAAAATTCTCTAGACCCTAGGCTCGATATTTTTCCTATAGAAAAAATCTCAGGACCCTAGGGTAGATATTTTTCCTATATAAAAAATTCTCGACATATTTTATACAGAAAAAAATTTCAGGGTTCTATTTTCAGGACCCTAGGCAGATATAATTTTTTAAAAATTCTCGATATTTTTCTACAGAAAAAAATCTCAAGACCCTGGGGTCGATATTTTTCCTATAGAAAAAATTCTCAAGACATCAGAGTCGATGTTTTTTTCTGTATGAACACTTCTGGGGACCCTAGGGTCCCAAATTGTTTACCTCAAAACCTATGTGTAATAAAACGCTTTTATATTATATCAGTGAATTCTCCACACCCTTCTCTTTATTCCAACAACTTTTAAATATATTCCATTTTTCGAAGTTACGAAAAATCCCCTCTTATCCAATTCCATTGGAACTTGCGTTAGGGGGCAACACTCAAAACGATATTTGCTCAATAGAAATATTAAACCTATTTTCGTTTGCATTTTACCAAAACGCATACCAATGCAACTTCGTGGACCCTCACCAAATGGTAAATATGCTGAGGGGTGACGTCTCTCAGATGCCTCCGCGCCAAAGCGATTTGGATTGAACTCCTCGGGATTTTCATAATAATCGGAATCATGGTGAATGGCATGGATAGGTATGATTATTTGAATATCCTTTTCAATGGTGTGCCCTGTGTGGGGGACGTGGTAATCGTGTGTGGCAACACGTATTAGGCCAGCGAGGACGGGATATAGGCGCAAAGTTTCTGTTGGGATGGAAAATATTTATTAATAAAAAAATCCGGATTTTGGTATTCTCACCTGAAATCGTCTGCTCTAAGTAGGTCATTTTTTGTATATCTTCATAGCGGAGTTCCGTATCGTCCTCCCCTAAAATTCCCAAAATTTCTTCTCTTAGATGTTCCTGAATTTCTGGATTCCTTGCCAATTCGTATAAAGTAAACGCCATTGTGGTCGATGAGGTTTCAAACCCGGCCAAAAAGAAATCGAACGTAAAGGCAGCCATCTGCTCAAAACTTATCCCCTCTCCCTCTCTGGCCTTCATTTCAATCATGAGATCTATAAAATCATTGGATTTTATATTATTTTCCAAACGATATTCCACAGTTTGGCGTATAACGCTCATGAAAAATTCCGTCAGGTCATCGGGAAATAATTTCATTCTTAGACGTTGGCAAATATTCGGATTCATTACCATGAACAATAGCAGCAAGGGGTGATGCCGCGGTTTGGTAAAAATCTCAATGCCTTTTTGACGAAATTCCGTCTTGGGGTCCTTTAGGCTACTGCACTCAATGCCGAAGGCACAATTGGCAATGACATCGGTGGTAAAACGTGAACACAGGTCCTTGATTTCTAACACTGGATCCTTACGTTTCTCCTCCAAGACCTCATCGATGGTTTGCAATAAAATTTTACCCACTTTAACAACTGTCGGAAACATATATTTCATACGTGCCGTGGTAAAGACCGGTGTTAGCATAGCTCTCATTTTACGCCACTGCTCTCCTTTTAAGTTGCTCAAATGCCCCGTCAGAGGATCATCTTCGACGTTATGAAAACCACCACGATTTTGAAAATATTGAAAATCTTTAACCAACACCTTTTTTATTAAATCCAAATCTAATAGTAATGCCGACCTCTGCATAAACATATAACATCCCGCAAAAGGTGCCTGGCCTTTAAATTCATTATATAAACGTTGATAGATGTCCCGCAAGTGATGTGTGGTTCCCAGGCCTTTGAAATTTCCAATCAAAGGCAATGGAGTTTCTTGTAGAATTCCACGTCGTAGCCAGTAGCTGTAGTGGCGATATAAATATACCAAAGAAAATATCGTGCAGCCGATTACTAGTGTTCCCAGCAGACCGAACATTGTAACGGAGAATTTTACAAAAGACCTCCTTCACCTTGAAAAGCTTTAGTTGAACTAAATCAGTTAAACTCAATGTCTGCTATAGAAAGCTTTCTCTTCTCTCTAAGTTATGTCATTTGAAAGGGAGAGAAAGAGCATTCCAGTCTGATCACTCAGAGAATTTCATGGAGAGAAAATGCGTGTTGTGTTGGACCCTAAAAAATATTTTTAAAAAATCGACGCCTTGTTTGAGACCCTAAAAAATATTTTTAAAAAATCCACGCCTTGTTTGAGACCCTAAAAAATATTTTTAAAAAATCCACGCCTTGTTTGAGACCCTAAAAAATATTTTTAAAAAATCCACGCCTTGTTTGAGACCCTAAAAAATAATTTTTAAAAAATCCACGCCTTGTTTGAGACCCTAAAAAATATTTTTAAAAAATCCACGCCTTGTTTGAGACCCTAAAAAATATTTTTAAAAAATCCACGCCTTGTTTGAGACCCTAAAAAATATTTTTAAAAAATCCACGCCTTGTTTGAGACCCTAAAAAATATTTTTAAAAAATCCACGCCTTGTTTGAGACCCTAAAAAATATTGTTTGAGACCCTAAAAAATATTTTTAAAAAATCCACGCCTTGTTTGAGACCCTAAAAAATATTTTTAAAAAATCCACGCCTTGTTTGAGACCCTAAAAAATATTTTTAAAAAATCCACGCCTTGTTTGAGACCCTAAAAAATATTTTTAAAAAATCCACGCCTTGTTTGAGACCCTAAAAAATATTTTTAAAAAATCCACGCCTTGTTTGAGACCCTAAAAAATATTTTTAAAAAATCCACGCCTTGTTTGAGACCCTAAAAAATATTTTTTAAAAAATCCACGCCTTGTTTGAGACCCTAAAAAATATTTTTTAAAAAATCCACGTCTTGTTTAGGGATCCTAGGGTCATGAGAATTTTTTCTATAGTCCCTTATAGAACACAGACCTCTGGGGTGGTGAGAATATTTTCTAATGCAGAAAGCTCTCTCTTAAGACCTCTGCAATTCATTACCCCCATAAAATCGTTTAGATAATAATTGTGCAGGAGAATTTTGCCAATGCTATTGAAAAGTGATTAGTCCCATTCAATCGTTCGGATAACAACAATGGTCTCTCTAACGTTGCAGATTTTTATATTATTACTAATTATATTAATAATTTGGTTACGCTTCCAATTGAGTTATTGGCAAAGGCGTAAGGCACCCACGGTCCCCACTACAGGTCTATATAAACTCACAAATCGTGAACATATTGCCTATTCGTATCAAAGGGCCTATCAACGGATGCGACGAGAAAATAAAGGATATGCTGGAATTTATACCCTAATAGTCCCCACCCTCCTTATTGCCGATTTGGATATGTTGAAATTGATATTGGTCACAGAATTTGAAAGATTTCCTGATCGTGGATTTTTTGTGAATTATAAATCGGATCCTTTATCGAAAAATATGGCAAGGTTACATGGAGAGTTGTGGCGCAAGATTCGGACGAAGATAACACCAACCTTTACTGCGGCAAGAATGCGTCAAATGTTCGATAATGTGGAGATGATTGGTAGGCATTTCATCCGGGTCATGGAGAAGGAAATTGGGAGGCATAATCAGGAGTTGGATGTTCGCGACCTGTGTGCCCGTTTCACAACCGATGTTATTGGGAATGTGGCCTTTGGCCTGGACTGTAATAGCCTGGAAGATCCCCACACGGAATTTCGAACTATGGGGGATAAGACATTTTCTGATGTCAACCCTCTTTGGGATATGCTGGCATCACATTTCCCCAAATTATTTACCTGGTTGGATTACAAAGTCTCTACACCGGAATTGATTTCATTTTATTCGAGAATTGTTCGGAATACAGTGGCATATCGTGAACTGAATGGGGTGCGTCGTAATGATTTTTTACAATTGTTAATTGATTTGAAAAATCAACCCCACCAAGAGGGCGAATATCAATTGGGGATGGATGATTTAATAGCCCAGTCATTTGCATTCTTTTCGGCGGGTTTTGAAACCTCTTCGAGTACGATGGCATATGCTCTCTTCGAATTGGCCAAAAATCCTCAAGTGCAGGAGAAGGCAAGACAAAATGTCGTGGAAGTTTTGGAGAGATATCAAGGGGAATTGAGCTATGATAGCCTCAATGAGATGAGCTATATTCGGCAGGTCGTACAAGGTAAACACTTTTTTTATTTCAAATTTATTTTCCTTCTCATATTCATCCCATCCTTCTTCCAGAAACCTTACGCAAACATCCTCCCGTACCCTCTACCAAACGTGTCTGTCGCCATCCCTATACTTTTCCCGATAAACAGAGTTTAAGTGTGGAACCCGATGTTCAAATAATTATACCCATCTATGCCATACATCATGATCCGGAATATTATTCACAACCGGAATGCTTTCGTCCCGAACATTTCTCCTCCGAAGAACGGAATCAACGGCATCCCATGGCATATTTACCATTTGGAGCTGGACCAAGGATCTGTATTGCTGAGCGCTTCGGTATGATGCAGACAATGATGGGTCTGGCCTTACTTTTAAAGAATTTCAAGTTCTTGCCTTGTACCAGAACTGCCGAACGTTTGAATTTCGATCCCATGAATGTTTTTGTATTCAGCAGCAAAGCTGGTATTTATTTGAGAGTGGTGAAAATATAAAATGAAAATAATTCATTTGACAAAAAAAAATAATCTTCGGTCAGGCCTAATTTTTTTTATTTAAAAAAAAAGAGAAATTCAATAGATAAGATTATAGACCAATTTTTTTACTTCGAGGAGAGCGATTAACACAATAATAGGTTATTTGTTTTGGAACATGCATTGATAAGGTATATCTTCTAATCTTCCACTTGTATTACTTTTAGAAAAAAAAAATCCCACGAAAATTATTATACCCTACACAACTATGTTGTCGGGGTATTTTAGCTTTGTGCCTCTAAGTATACCGATCGACATATCTCGACTTGCTGAGTCGATCTGGACATGTGTATCCGCCCGTCCGTCCATTATAATTTGTAAACACGATACAGGTCACAGTTATGGACCAATTTTGCATGTAGGATGGGTTCAGCCCAATGAAGACCCCGTTTGGTTTTTGGTAAAGATCGGTTAATATTTAGGGGATGAAATGGACCAAATACTTAATTTTTGTCGGTTTTCTGGTCGCTCTATAGGCCACAATTATGGCCCATGATTTTTTTTACATGATGCACGGGATCGGGCTAAAGAATAAACATGTCTGTTTTTATAAAGATCAGTCAATATTTAGCGGGTCAAATTGACCCTGACTTTTGTGTGAAAAATGTTAAAATTTGTATTCTATGGCATATACATTTACCTCTGAGGGACATAGACCCGCGAAAATGATAGTATATCCAAGAGGAGTGGTTGGACTTTAAATTGATACCAATTATACGGTCATATGTACTCCGATGTGGGAGTTACACTTAAATATTTACAGGTGCTTAGGTTCTGAGATATTATTTTGTAACCCATTACCACACTATAGGGCGGAAATATAGCGCTGATAGCTGTGAAATTTCCCATGAGGTTCTAGTTATGGTCAAGGTAATAATTTTGGGACGAAGTGCACCGAAAACTTTTGTGTATTTTTCGAATCGATCTATAGGCCACAGTTTTAAGCCGAACATCAACCCACGGTGAAGGCAATCTGGACAAGTATCTAGAAGAGCTGTACTGAATATTAGAAATATTCGGAATATATTTCAGTGTATGGAAGAGGTGCAAGAGGGTGCAAATGTCACGAAATATTGTCCTGGCTCGGAATAAAAATCCGCAGAAAGTTATAGTGCCGTGGTAGTTGTGTAGGGTATCGTATGGTCGGCCACATCAGACAATACTGCTTCCCTCACTAGTTTAAAAATATTTTTTTCAGGTCCATCTTTAGACGTTCGGGGTTCTACAATAGGCGTAGATTTTTTAAAACTATATTTTCAGGGTCTACCTTTAGGCGTCCGGGGTTCTACAATAGGCGAGGATTTTTTAAAAATATATTTTCGGGGTCTATCTATAGGCGTTCAGGGTTCTGCAATAGGCGTGGATTTTTTAAAAATATTTTTTCATGGTCTAGCCCTAGGCGTGGATTTTTAAAAAATATTTTTTCATGGTCTAGCCCTAGGCGAGGATTTTTTAAAAATATTTTTTCAGGGTCTAGCCCTAGGCGTGGATTTTTTAAAAATATTTTTCATGGTCTAGCCCTAGACGTGGATTTTTTAAAAATATTCTTTCATGGTCTAGCCCTAGGCGTGGATTTTTTAAAAATATTTTTTCATGGTCTAGCCCTAGGCGTGGATTTTTTAAAATTATCTTTTCATGGTCTAGCCCTAGGCGTGGATTTTTTAAAAATATTCTTTCATGGTCTAGCCCTAGGCGTGGATTTTTTCATGGTCTAGCCCTAGGCGTGGATTTTTTAAAAATATTTTTTCATGGTCTAGCCCTAGGCGTGGATATTTTAAAAATATTTTTTCATGGTCTAGCCCTAGGCGTGGATTTTTTAAAAATATTTTTTCATGGTCTAACCCTAGGCGTGGATTTTTTAAAAATATTTTTCATGGTCTAGCCCTAGGCGTGGATTTTTTAAAAATATTTTTTCATGGTCTAGCCCTAGGCGTGGATTTTTTAAAAATATTTTTTCAGGGTCTATCCTTAGGCGTGGATTTTTAAAAATATATTTTCAAGGTCTACCTTTAGGCGTGAATATTTTAAAAATATCATTTCAGGGTCTGGAAATTCTAAAAATATCTTTTCAGGGTCTGGATATTTTAAAAATATCATTTCAGGGTCTGGATATTTTAAAAATATCTTTTCAGGGTCTTGATATTTTAAAAATATCTTTTCACGGTCTACCTTTAGGCGTGTATATTTTAAAAATATCTTTTCAGGGTCTGGATATTTTAAAAATATCTTTTCAGGGTCTGGATATTTTAAAAATATCTTTTCAGGGTCTGGATATTTTAAAAATATATTTTCATGGTGTGGATTTTTTAAATTTTTTTGAATATTTTTTCATGGTATATCCTTAGGCGTGGTTTTTTTAAAAATATTTATCAATGTCTAACAATTGTTCCAACCCTAGGCCCCTATTAGTTTTAAAGAATATATCTTTGTTCTTTAAAAGTACGCAAATTTATAGGTCATTGCCTGCCATACCGCTTATCACGTCATCTAAGATGCACTTAATTTAATCGCATTGATATTCAAAGGCCTTTTTCCACGAATCTTATCTTCTGATAAGACGAAATTTTATTTTATTTACACCTGTTCAATATTCAAATATATACCATCTTTACTATTGAAGACACGAACATTGAATGGGTCAAAATTTAAACGTTTCGGTGTCCTTTCGCATACCGAAAATTTGAAATTCTTCAGTAGCAATGCCAGGCCCATCATTGTTTGCATCATACCGAAACGTTCAGCAATACAGGTTCGTGGCCCAGCACCAAATGGCAAATATGCCATAGGATGACGTCGGCTGCGCTCTTCGGGGGAGAATCTTTCCGGCCGAAAGATTTCCGGCTGGGGATACAACTCGGGATCATGATGTATACCATAGACTGGGATCATAATGTGTACATCGGGTTCAATGGTGAGGCCATCGGGAAAGGTAAAGTGACGACGGCAAACACGTCTACCCGAAGGAGCCACTGGGTGTTTGCGCAGGGTCTCTGAAAATGGGAAATTAAGAATATTAGGGAGAGGTGTAGAAAAAATATTCGGAGTGTGTTAGCCTTACCCTGCACCACCTGCCTTATATAGCCCATTTCATTGAGACTTTCATAGTTAAAAACCCCTTGATATTTTTGCAAAACATCCATCACATCCTGTCGTGCCTTTTCCTGCACCTGAGGATTCTTAGCCAATTCGTATAAAGCAAAGGACATGGTACTCGATGAGGTCTCAAAGCCACCAATAAAGAACACAAATGCCTGGGCTATCAAATCGCCCATATCCAATTGATATTCCCCCTGCTCCTCCTGGGGACTATTTTTCAACTCAATCAAGATATCCAAAAAATCATTACGTTTCACTTGATTGCGTTCACGATATTCCACTGTCTCACGGACAATGCGAGAATAAAAATCTATCAATTCGTTTGTGAAGACCTTATAACCCAATCGGTGGAAAAATCTGGGATATGTGGAAGCTATCATTTCCATAAAGGGGTGTATAGTATAGAAGGCCTTATCCCCTTTCAAACGAAATTCCGTTTGGGGCTCCTTCAGACTGTTACACTCCAGGCCAAAGGCCACATTACCAATTACATCAGTGGTGAAACGGGCACACAAATCCCTGATTTCAACCTCATGGTTCTGCTGCTCCACCTGCTCACCCATGACCTTGATGAAATTCTTACCAATGGCCTCCACATTGCCAAACATTTGACGCATGCGCCCCGAACTAAAGGTGGGGGTCAGCTTCGTTCTCACCTTACGCCACAGATCACCATGCAATCTCACCATATTCTTGGACAATGGATCGGCATCATAATTCGTATAGAGACCACGATCGGGAAAGGAATCAAATTCACTGATGTATATCAATTTCAGTAAATCCAAATCCGCCACCAGCAGAGAGGGTGTGAACAGAGTTAGGAATCCGGCATAGGGTTTATTTTCCTCCCTCAATCGTTTATAGATTCGTTGATAAACGAAGGCAACATGTTCACGATCTTTGAGTTTATGCAGATCCGAACCATCTACGCTGAGAATCTGATATTTCTTCCAATAATTTCGCTTCTTGTGGTACCACACAAAGATTAGGGCAAGGGGTAGAGTAATTAGTAGCAACGGAACAAAGATCATTGTAGTTGCTCGAACAAAGTTTAGAATGCGACTAAATGTTGTTGAACCCGCTCTCGCAGAACTCCCATTAAAGCTGTGCTGTTTCTAAAAGCTTTTTTATTGTTTTTATTATTTTTTGTTTTTGTTTAAATGCAAAAAGATTAGAGCGACTGCATAGTAAAACTAAAGGAGAGATATAATAACAAGAGGTTGCCTCCAGAGCATAACAAGTAATTTAGTCAGGGTGAGTTCAAAATTAATTTTATACCCTACACAACTATGTTGTCAGGGTGTTATAGCTTTGTGCAGCCCCAAGAGTTTGTAACGCCGCGAAATATTGGTCCCAGACCTACCTTTAAGTATACCGATCATATCATATCTCGACTAGCTGATTCGATCACGAAAATTTTGCTTGTAGTATGGATTCTGCTCAATGAACCCCTATTATTTTTGGTAATGATCGGGTAATATTTAGGGCATGAAATGGACCAAATACTTAATTTTTGCCCGTTTTTCTGGTCGCTCCAGAGGTCGCAATTATGGCCCGAATATCGCGAAATTTTGCCTGTTTTGAAAAAGATCGGTTAATATTTGGCTGGTCAAATAGACCCTGACTTTTGTGTGAAAAATTACAAAATTTGTATTTTATGGCGTCTATATTTAACCCTGAAGGACATAGACCCGAGAAGTTGATAGTATATCCAAGAGGAGTGGCTGGCTTTTAAATTACCAATTATATTGTCGTATGTACTCAGATGTGGGAGTTACACTTAAATATTTGCAGGTACTTACGTATTCATATAGTATATAGTAACCCATTATCACACTAGAGGGCGGCAATATAGTTCTGATCGCTTTGAAATTTTCCATGATGATCCAGTTATGGTCATGGACAACGTCTATAATTTTCGGTGATGATCCGATAATAATTTTGGGGTGAATTAGACCGAAAACTTAATTTTTTGTTTTTTTTTTCGAATTGATCTATAGCCAACAATTGAAAGTCGAACATCACAATACAACCCACGGTGAAGGGAATCTAGACAAGTCATTAGAAGGACTGTACCGAATATTAGTAATTTGGCCGACTAGAGAGCCAACAGGATGCAAATATCGCGAAATATTGCCTAAGCTCTAAATATAGAACCCAACAAAATTAGGTCTTCTTCGAAGTTTTGTAGGGTATCATATGGTATCATGTCCGACTATACTGCTCCGCTCACTGGTTTAAAAATATTTTTTAGGGTTTGGATTTTAAAAAAAATATTTTTAGGGCTTGGATTTTTTTAAATATTTTTTTCTGTGCCTACTTATAGGCGTGGATTTTTACAAAAATATTTTTAGGTCCTGGATTTTTATACCCTTCACCACACTGTGGTACAGGGTATTATGTCTTTGTGCATGTGTTTGTAACAGGCAAAAGGAAAGGAGATAGGCACATGGTTCCTTTAGAGAATAAGCATAGAATCACTTTCTGAGTCAATTTATGCATGTCCGTCCGTCCGTCTGTCCATCCGTCCGTCTGTAGAAGTTAAATTGTAAGCAAAGTACAGGTCGCATTTATCATCCGAATTGGATGAAATTTGGCATAGGTCACTTATTTGGTCCAACGACGAACCCTATTGAACCTATTGGTGAAAATCGGTTCAGATTTAGATATAGCTCCCGAATATAGTTTCGTCCGATTTAGGGTAAATGGGGCACAAAAGTCAATATATATCTTTCGATTTGCATGAAATATAGCATAGTGTTCTGAATTAGGTGCAGAATGATGTTTGCTAAGTTTCGTGAAAATCGGTTCAGATTTGGTCCGATTTAAGGTAAATGGTGTACTATATATCTTTCGATTTGCACGAAATTTGGCATGACGTACTAAATTAAGTCTAGAATGATATCTGTTAAGTTTCGAGAAAATCGGTTCAGATCTAGATATAGCTCACATATATTTTTTCTTTCGATTTAAGGTAAAAGGGGCACCAAAGTCACCATATATCTTTCGATTTGCATGAAATTTGGCATATGGTACTGAATCAGGTCCAGAATTATGTGTGCTAAGTTTCGTGAAAATCAGTTCAGATATAGATATAGCTCCCATATATATTTTCGTCCGATTTTAGGTAAATGTTGTACCAAAGTCCCTATACATCTTTCGATTTGCACGAAATTTGGCATAGTTTTCTGAATTGGGTCCAGAATATTGTGTGCTAATTTTCGTGCAAATCGGTTCAGATATAAATATAGCGCCCACATATATATTCGTCCGATTTAATATAAATGGTGCATCAAAATCCCTATATTTCTTTCGATTTGCTCGAAATTTGGCATAGCGTTATGAATTAGGCCTAGAATGATGTGTGCTAAGTTTAGTGAAAATCGGTTCAGATATAGATATAGCTCCCATATATATTTTCATCCGATTTTATATAAATGGGGTACCAAAGTCCCTATACATCTTTCGATTTCCATGAAATTTGGCACAGGATACAAAATTAGGTCCAGAATGATGTGTGTTAAGTTTCATGAAAATCGGTTCAGATTTAGATATAGCTCCCATATATATTATCGTCCGATTTAAGGTAAATGGTGCACCAAAGTCCATAAATATCTTTCGATTTGGACGAAATTTGGCACAGCGAACTTAATTAAGCCTAGAGTGATGTGTGTTAAGTTTCGTGAAATCGTTTCAGATTTAGATATAGCTCCCATATAGATTTTCATCCGATTTAATGGAAATGGTGCACCAAAGTCTCTATTTATTTTTCGATTTACACGAAATTTTGCATAGTGTACTGAAATAGGTCTAGAATAATGTGTGTTTAGTTTCGTGAGAATCGGTTCAGATTTAGATATAGCTCTCATATATATTTCCGTCCGATTTGATGTAAATGGTGCACCAAAGTCTCTATTTATTTTTCGATTTACACGAAATTTTGCATAGTGTACTGAAATAGGTCTAGAATAATGTGTCTTAAGTTTCGTGAAAATCGATTGAGATTTAGATATAGCTCCCACATATATATTTCCGTCCGATTTAAAGTAAATGGTGTACCAAAGTTCCTACATAGCTTTCGATTTGCACGAAATTTGGCACAGGATACTGAATTAGGTCCAGAATGATGTGTGCTAAGTTTCGTGAAAATCGTCCGATTTAAAGTAAATGGGGCAGCAAAGTCCCCATATATCATTCGATTTGCACGAAATTTGGCACAGCGTAATGAATTAGGCCTAGAATGATGTGTGCTAAGTTTCGTGAAAATCGGTTCAGATTTAGATATAGCTCTCATAGATATTTTCGTCCGATATAAGGTAAATGGTGCACCAAAATCTCTATTTATCTTTCGATTTAAACGAAGTTTTGCATAGTGTACTGAAATAAGTCTAGAATAATGTGTGTTAAGTTTCCTGAAAATCGGTTCAGTTTTAGATATAGCTCCCACATATAGTTTCGTCCGATTTTATATAAATGGTGCACCAAAGTCCCTATATATCTTTGCATATTTTCGTTCGATTTCATGTAACTCTTGCACTAAAGACCCAGAGTTTTTCCGATTGGCGCACAATTTTCTACAATTTACTGAAATTAATATAAATTAATCTCTGACCAATGTCGTTGAAATCGGTTCAGATTTAGATATAGCTACACATATATATTTTAGTCCGATTTAAGGTAGATGGTGCACCAAAGTCCCTACATATCTTTCGATTTGCACGAAATTTTGCATAGCGTACTGAAGTAAGGCTAGAATGATGAAAATCGAAATGATGTGTCCTAAATTTCGTGAAAATCGGCTCAGATTTAGATAAAGCTCTCATATATATTTTTTTGCGATTTGATGTAAATGGGGCACCTCAGACCCAAAGTTAAGCCGATTGGAACAAAATTTGCATAACGTAATGAAGCTACTATAACCTACAGTGTGTCAAGTATTGTTGGAATCAGTTCGGATTTTGATATGGCTCCCATATATAGTTTCGTCCGATTTTAGGTATATTTTGCACCAAAAACCCAAAGTAACGCACAACGTACCGAATTTAGAGTAGTCTAACGTGTGCCAAGTTTTGTTTAATTTTGTTCAGATTTGAATATCTGTTTAATTTACCCATAGTGGTGAAGGGTATCATATAGTCGGACCCGTCTTACTTTACTACTTTCCTTACTGGTTTAATATTATTTTTCCGCTCAGGAAATTCAGCTGCAAATTTTCCAACAGAAACCCTAATCAGCTAAGCTGAATTGCAGATTTTATTTTAAAGACCTAATTCAGCTAGGCAGAATAAAAGATTTTTGGACTGAAACCAAATGCAGCTTGGTGAAATTGCAAGATTTTTACCAGAAACCGAATAAATAAAAGTAATAAAATTGTAATTCAGCTGGGCTCAGTTTCACATTTTATCTTCAGCTAAACTGAATATCTAATTTAGATTGACAAAATTAAAGACTTCCCATTTGAAACCTAATTCAGCTGGGCTGAGTTGGATAAATCCCACCGAAACTGGATTCAACAAGACTTAGTTGAAGATTTCCGAACCGAAACCGAGTTCAGCTATGCTGAATTATAGGTTACCTATAGGAAACCACATTCAACTACAAATCACCCATTCACCCTTCAGCAGTTCTGAATGAATATTTCCTCACCCTTTATAGATAATCCACTTTGACATTTACCTGTCAAGTACTATGTAAATTTAATTTCATACTTTATCTGTTATCTTGCCAAAAAAAAAAAACACTTACACACACACGCACACATACAAATTGACAGCATATTCTAGACGTCAAGATATGCGATAGATATTAAAACGTACACACACACACACACACACACTTTAACACATCACTTAGATATCAGCATAACCCAAACCTCTGAATGACGAGCACAGATTAACGACCGTTGGTTTAAAATTCCGACACTTAATTTTCGTACGTAAGTACAGCTTTTTGTTGTTGTTGTTCTCTTTTTTTCTTTAGTAAAATTTTCATTTTAGTTAGATTAATTAACTTCACATTAATGCTAATCTTTAAAATAAGCAGAGAGCGAATAGCATGAGAGCTCGAGAGAGAGAGAGAGAGTTAACGTTGTTGAGAGCACTCATTCGCGTTAGATCCAAATAAAGTCAATTCCGCTTGTTTTGTTTGCAATGTTTCGTGTTTTTTTTTTCTTCTCGTGTTATATTCGTATTTGTTTGTGTCATTAACACTCATTCAAAATCGGTTCGATGACGAATTGATCAATAAAAAAATACACCTCCAAAATTCTACTCCCCACAACTGACAATCTTGAGGGGAGGAGATATTGCGAGGGGGGCTCTCAAATTCTATTGTATTCTCTAGTGCAGAATAAATGCAACCTCTTGTTCTCTCTTGGTGTCCCCTCAAACTCCAACTTGTTGTTGTTCTTGTGTTTGCTGCTTACGATTTGTCAAATCAATTGTCAAAAATGAACAAGTGAATTCAACAACAATAACAACTGAGAATTGGAATGTTTCTTTTTTTTTTGTTATATGGATTGATAAGAGAGCTTTGCACTGCCACCATAACTGAAGCGTTTCAAAAATAATTTTTGGTGGGAAAACCGCACAGGCATGGGGGACATTGGAAATGAGCTACAATTACTCTAACTTCGTTTTTTTCGAGCGGTTGAATTAAAAATAAAATTGATTTTACCCAGCTGAATTGGGTTTCCGTGGAGAAATGTACAATTCAGCCCAGCCGAATTAGTTTTCCGAGCGGAAATTTGCTATTCAGCCAAGCTGAATTAGGGTTTAGTAGGCTGAATTAAATTTTTGAATAAAACTCAGTAATTCAGGCCGTCTGAATTAGATTATGCTTAAGAAATCTGCAATTCAGCCAGCTGAATTAGGGTTCCTTTTGAAATTTTAGTACAATTAAATTTCTGAGGTCAGCTAGCTGAATTAGATTTTGTGAAGAAATTAAGCTGCATAAATTCAGCCCAGCTGAATTAGGTTTCATATTATAAAAGGTTTCACCAAAGAAATGCAATTCAGCTTAGCCAGCTGAATTAGGGTTTTTCTAATGGAAAATCTAAAATGTGAAATTTGTAGGTCAGCTGAATTAAATTTCTGATGCAAATTCTGTAATTCAGCGAAGCTGAATTTCATTCTCGTGGCGAAATCTGTAATTCAGCCCAGCTGAATTAAGCTTCCGTCTGCAAATTTACAATCTAGGCCCGATGAATTTGGATTTTGTTAGGAATTATGCATTTCAGCCCAGCTGAATAAGGTTTCACCAAAGAGATCTTCAATTCAGCTCAGCTGAATTTGATTTTCCTTACGAAACCTGAATTTTAAGTCGGAAGATTCACATTTCTAATGGAAAAAACTGAAATTCAGCCCAGCTGAATTAGGGGTTTCTTTCGAAATCTGAAATTTAGGTCAGCTGAATTAAATTTCTGATGAAAAATCTGGTATTTTAGCCCAGCTGAATTTGATTTTCGTGGCGAAATCTCTATTTCAGTCAGGCTGATTTAAACTTTCGTCTGTAAATCTACAATTTAAACTTGATGAATTAAGTTTCTGATGATAAAACTGCAATTCAGCCCAGCTGAATTAGGCTGAATCTGAAATTTAGCCCAGCTGAATTAGGGTTCCTTTTAAAATTCTACAATCTAGGTCAGATGAATTACATTTTAGTAAAGAATTTTGCAATCCGGCTCAGCTAAATTAGGTTCCTCTTAAGAAATCTGCAATTCAGCACAGCTGAATTAGGTTTTTCTTTTGAAATCTGAAATTTAAGTTAGCTAAATTAAAATTCTGATAAAAACTCTGCAATTCAGCGCAGCTGAATTAGGTCTCCGTGGGGAAATCTGCAATTCAGCCAAGCAGAATTAGGTTTCATTTGAAAATCTATAATCTAAGGCAAGTGAAATCTTTTTGTTGAATTTTGGTCAGCTGAATTAAATTCCTGACGAAAAATCTGCTATGTTAGCCGAGCTGAATTTGATTTTCGTGGAAATCGAAATCTAGCTATTTCAGTTTTGTTAGGCTGATTTAAACTTTCGTTTCTGTAAAAAATCTACAATTTAACTAGGACTTTACGATGAATTAAGTTTCATTCCTGATGAAAAAATTCAGCAGAGCTGAATCAGTCCAGCTGAATTAGGTTTTCATTAACAAATCCACAATTCCACCTAGCTGAACTTGGTTTCGATTTGAAAATCTACAATCTAGGCCAGATGAATTAGATTTTTTGTAAAGAATTTCCTTTTGAAATTTTCCTACAATTAGGTTTAAATTTCTGATGAAAAATCTGCAATTCAGCACAGCTGAATTAGGTTTTTCTTTCGAAATCTGAATTTTAAGTCAGCTAAATTAAAATTCTGATAAAAACTCTGCAATTCAGCACAGCTGAATATGATTGCCGTGGGGAAATCTGTAATTCAGCCCAGCTGAATTAGGTTTTCATTACAAATCCACAATTCCACCCAGCTGAATTAAGTTTCCGTTTGAGAATCTACAATCTAGGCCAGATGAATTCGATTTTTGTAACGAATTCTGCACTTCAGGACTGCTAAATTAGATGTTTCTTTCAAAATCTGCAAGTTATGTCAGCTGAATTAAATTTCTGATGAAAAATCTGCAATTCAGCCAAGCTGAATTTGATTTCTGATGAAAAATCTGCAATTCCTTAGGTTTCCTTGAAAATCTGCAATGTAAACGAAATGAATTGGATTTTTTTAGAAATTATATATTTAAGCCTAGCTGAATTAAGTTTCCCTTAAAAAAATCTGCAATTCAGCCCAGCTGAATTAGGGTTTCTTTACGAAATCTGAAAATTAGGTCAGCTGAATTAAATTCCTGATGAGAAATCTGCAATTCAGCACAGCTGAATATGGTTGCCGTGGGGTAATCTGTAATTCAGGGCAGCTGAATTAGGTTTTCATTAACAAATCCACAATTCCACCCAGCTGAATTACGTTTCCGTTTGAATATCTACAATCTAGCCCAGATGACTTAGATTTTTGTACAAAATTCTGCACTTCAGTCCAGCTGAATTAGATTTTCCTTTCAAAATCTGCAATTTAGGTCAGCTGAATTAGGTTTTCATTTCAAAATCTGAAATTTGGGTTAGCTGAATTAGGGTTTCCTTTCGAAATCTGCAATTTAGGTTAGGTGAATTAAATTTCTGATAAAAAATCTGCAATTCAGCCCAGCTGAATTTGATTTCATTGGGGAAATCTAGAATCTAGGACAAATAAATTAAACGTAGGTTAGGTTTTCCTTAAGAAATATGCAATTCAGCCCAGCTGAATTAGTTTTCCAGCAAAAAGTCTATAATTTCATCCAGCTGAATTAGTTTTCCATTAGGAAATTTGCAATTCAGCTCAGCTGAATTAATTAATTTGAGTTGCTTTATGCAAAAAAAGTCACCTTAACATTGACATCTCAACATCCAACACATAATCTAAGCTATTGTTTTGATCTCATATCAATTGTGCACTTTGCTGGCATCGAATTGTCAATACTGAACATCTTAATTGCTTGTAAACTTTGTGCTTTAATTAATTGTTGCAACAATAATTGTTATAACTTGGTCAATATTTGTTTACATTGAGGGGAGGGTGAGTTCGGAGACGAGTCACCACCCCCTGCCCTCACTGACATCACAAACAATAGAATAGAGATGGTAGATCATTTAATCTCGTAAAGAACCTGTATTGATGATGCAATTAAAAGCTGTTGCGGTCAGATAGAGAGAGAGAGAAAGAAAGAGAGGGAGAAGAGAGAGTACATGCAATAGATGTATGCTACAGATGAAATAAAGAAATATTATTCAGTTGAAAAAAATATTTTAAAAAAATCCTCGCCTAAGGAGTGATCTGTTTTAGACCCTGAAAGGGTTTTAAAAAATCCACACCTTGTGTTGGGTGTTGAAAAAATATTTGAAAAAAATCCTCAGCCTTGAAAAATAAATTTTTAATTAAATTACATTTTTTATCTTACCTTGTGCTGAACCCATCACACCTATTGTAGCGTACCCTACCCGCCAAATAATAATAATATTTGCTGATAAACCCTTAGACAGCAGCACCATTGCTGTGAAAAGTTTCAGCTGAATGTACATAGAATGGTGAGTATCAGAAAATAGAAAACAACAACAATAACGCCAACAACAACGACAACAAAAAAAGGTAACATCGCTCGCTTCCCCAACTCATTCACTCGCTCCCAAAAAGTTCATTAATCAGTTAACAAATAAGCGTTTAATACAACTAGTCACAGGCGTAACTCTTGAAAAAAGTTCTGATAAATAAAAACGCGATTAAATTCGAAACAAAAAAATAAAAAAAAAAAAAACACGAATGTGAAAACGAAAAGAAAATGAAAATCACGAAATGAAGCAGAAAATCAGATCTCCAAAAATTAATTGCCAAAAAAAGTTTTGAAAATTAAAAAGAAAAAAAATATTTAAATTATTTATTTATGCTGTTGTTGTTGTTCTGTGCATGTAAATCGTCATGTGGGTTATATTTTTGTTGTTGGGTTTAGCGATATTTCTTATCTTAACCCTGATAGTTGTGGCCATCGTTTATATACGCGACTATTGGCACTTTGTGGGGGTACCGCACGATCAGCCGCGTTCTCTGCGCGAAGTGATTAAGACCTTCAGTAAATATGGCACCACCACTCAGGTCAAGGATCAAAATGAATATTTCAAAAAGCTCTACAAGAAATTCAAGGGGTCGGGGCCCTTTGTCGGTTTCTATCATCTGTTCGAGCCACGTGTCATGGTCCTCAGCCCGGAGCTAATGCAGCAAATTCTCGTTAAGAATTTCTCCAATTTCAATGATCGTGGCCATTATCACAATCGCAAATCGGATCCCCTCTCAGCGGATTTATATTCCACCAGTGGAGATCAATGGAAAGAAATGCGCTTGAAACTCGAACCAGTTTTCCAGAAAGCCTACATGTTCCACTTTTTCGAAAGTATACGTGAAGAGTGTGAGAAGACCTTTCTCCTCTTCGAATTGGCTCGCCAAGAGTACCAGAAAATCTCTCCCCAAAGTGATGTGGCCTTCGATGTGAAACCCTTTATGCATCGCTACGTCCTAGGCAACATTGCCAAGTGTGTCTTCGGCCTCAACAAATCAATGCAGCAAAAATATCCCCTCGAAGAATTCGATGCCATGACCCAATTTGGTTTACACACCCACCGCCATGGCGGTTTCCTCAACTCAATTATGGATCGGAATCCGACGCTGTTTCGTTCCTTCAATTTCGCCACCACAAAAGTTAAGGTACATACCTATTTTATGACTCTCTTGAATGATGTCATTCTGCATCGAAGTAAGGCGGAGAATCGCACCGATGACTATCTACAATTGCTTATCGATCTAATGAATCAGGAATTTAATACCCATGAAACGGAAGTACATAATGAGGGTATCGGCCTCAAGGAACATTTGGTAAATGAATTGGCGGCCCATGCTTTTACGTTTTTGAGAGCGGGCCTCGAACCCACAGAGGATACCCTGTCGTATGTGTTATATGAATTGGCTAGAGATCCGGTTATGCAGCAGCGGGTTCGTGAAGAGGTTGCCAAGGCCTATGAACAGAATGGAGAAAATTTCACATATGAAGGGATACAATCACTGAAATTTATGGGACAATTTATATCGGGTAAGTGAAGGATGTGAAAACATCAATTCAGCAAAGAAATATTTCAATTGAGCTCAGTTGAATTAGGTTTACTTTAGTTTCCCACTAATAAATCTGCAATTCAGCTCAGCTGAATTGGGTTTCCAATACAAAATCTGCACTTCAGACCAGCTGAATAAAAAATCCTATAGCAAATCTGCAATTCAGCTCCGCTAAATTATGTTTTTGACAGGAAATATTCCATTCTAGCAAGGGTCAATTAATTTTACTATAATAAATCTGCAATTAAGCACATCTGAATTGGGTTTCTGATACAAAATCTGTAATTCAGCCTATCTGAATACAAATTCCAATAGCAAATCATCAATTCAGCTCAGCTGAATTAGGTTTTCGATAGAAAATCTGAAAATCGAATCGAAATTATAATTATAATTTGGTTTACAAAGGGAAATTTTAGATTTCCTATAGAAAGTTTGCAATTAAGCCCAGCTGAATTAGGTTTTAAGTAGGAAATCTTCAATTCAGCCCAGCTGAATTATGTTACCAATAGGAAATCTTAAATTCAGACCAGCTGAATTAGGGTTTCAGTAGGAAATCTTCAATTCAGCCCAGCTTAATTAAGTTTCCAATAGGAAATCTTCCATTCAGCTCAGCTGAATTAGATTTTCAGCAGGAAATCTTCAATATAATCCTAGCTGAATTAGGTTTTTAATAGAAATCTTCAATTAAGGCCAGCTTTATAACGTTCACCATAGGAAATCTTCAATTCAGCTCAGCTGAATAATAATTGCAATAGCAAATCTGCAATTTAGGCCATTGGAAATGGGTTTTTGATAGGTAGTATTAGCATTTCAGCGTAGCTGAATTAGGTTTGAGAAAGAAAGTCTTCGATTTATCTAAGCTAAATTGGATTTCCAATGGGAGATCCACAATTCAGCCAAGCTAAATTAGCTTTCAAAGGATAGATCAACTCCGCAATTTAGCCCAATCCTGGGGTTGAATAAGATTATAATAGAAAATCTAAAATGCAGCCTAGCTGAATTGTGTAATTCGCAACTCCGGCCAGCTGAATTGGGTTCCTGATAGAAAATCCGCAAATCAGCCCAGCTGAATTGGGTTCCTGATGAAAATCTGTAATTCAGCTCAGCTGAATTGGGTTGCTGATGGAAAATCTGCAATTCAGCCCAGCTGAATTGGGTTCCTGATAGAAAATCTACAATTCAACCAAGCTGAATTAGGTTTCTGATAGAAATTCTGCAATTCAGCCCAGCTGAATTGGGTTCCCAATGCAAATTCTGTAATTCAGCTCAGCTGAATTGGGTTTAAGAAAGAAAATCTGAAATTATATCCAGCTGAATTATATTCCTGAAAGAAAATCTCCACTTCAGCACAGCTGATTTGGATTCCTGATAGAAGTTATGTAATTCAGCTCAGCTGAATTTTGTTTTATTATAGATTACCTACAATTTAGCACAGAAAATATTTTGATTTCCTTAATGAAAATTATATTTATTATTTCTTTGCTTTCAGAAACCATACGCCTCCATCCAGTGGTGCCCTACATTATGCGCCGCACCCTCAACGATTACCTTGTGCAAAAGGATTCCAATTTCCTGATACGTAAGGACATCAATATCGTGATCCCCCTGAATGCTATGCACAATGACCCCGAGTATTATCCACAACCCCATATATTTAATCCAGATCGTTTTGCTGGGGAAACAAATCGCCAGCGACAATCCTGTGTTTGGTTGGGATTCGGTGAAGGACCCCGCAACTGCCTTGGCTTACATTTTGCCCAATTACAAATGCGTACCCTGCTGGCGATACTCCTAATGCGCTATGAATTCTTTTTGGATACACAAAATCTTATTGTATGCTGCCTCGAGGGAGTGGCACTGCGAATACGCCCCCTAAATGAACGTTCCGAATATGTGGAGAGTGAGGGGCGAGAATCGGCAGTTGTGATATGAAAAGTAGAAAAAATTAGTTTAATTTGATTTTAGATTTGAAAAAAAAAACAAAGTATTATTTGTTTGTTATTTATTTGATTGTTTTGTTTTTGTTTTAATTTGTTTAGTCAATATTTGTTGTAAGGAGACAATTGTTCATTTTGTGTTTGATAATGTTAAAATAAATGTTCAATAACATAGCCATGTAAGTTTTGCAGAATGACTGCTTTTTAATAATAGAAAAAATATTAAACTGAAGTGCCTAAAAATATGCAATATTTTTGTTTAATAATTAAAAAAGAGAATAAAGAAATAAATACCTTATTGTGGGTATATCTTAAAAAAATATTTTTAAAAAATCCACGCCTATTGTCGGAGCTTAGAAAAATATTCAGTAGTGTTGGCGGGTTATTTGGAATACCATTTGTATTTTGTTTTTGCAGAATAGTCAGGCTGAATCCCAGTTTGTTGTTTTTATAAAAAAAACTACTATTTATTAGAGAGGAATGTATGGCATTGTCGCCGAGGGGTAAGGCAGGGAAGACTAAAGTTTCAGATCTCGCCCTTAGTTTTTTGTTGGGATATTCCCCTGCTATGTGTCGCCACTTTGCTTTGCTGGTAAGAACTAAGTATGACAATATGTCTTAACCAATCTTAGACTAATGTGTAAAAGAAATACGGAGAGAGTGCGTGAATACTTTATCTCATATGTGACAAGCAAACACGCTACACAAAGAGTCCTCGGTTACTCTTTGGCTGCGATTCTTGACATTGAAGGAACCTTCAATAATGTGAAGCTTAAGGCTTTCATTCTGCTTTCGACAGCTCAGGTATCACCTCCCTCCTAACGGACTGGATTAATAGAATGCTGGGAAGCAGAATTATCAACTCGTTCTTGGGAGAGAGTTCCGTGTGGAACTCTGTCAACGCAGGCCACCACAAGGAGGAGTATTATCTTCTCTTTCATGGCTTCTGGTGATAAATGAGATACTGCTGAAAGTTGACCATCTTAAAACACAGGTTGTAGCCTATACTGATTTTGTAGTCTTGTTACTAGGTGGGAAGTTTTTGCCCACTATTTCAGATATTATGGAGGGTGCCCTTTCAACACTGTCCAACTGGGCACCTGCCAATGATCTTGGCGTAAATCCCACTATGACTAGGTGACGTAGATTCCAAATTTCCGCTTGGCATCTTTGGGTGGAGTTACCTTATCTTTGGGTGGAGTTACCATATACCATGGTACAATCCTTGGTCACAAATTAACGTGGAATTGGAATGTTGAAAAAATCACTAAGAAAGGACAGAAACTCTATAGGTAAGAGCTGGGGACTAAAACCATAGATCATCACTGGCTGTATGTGACGGTTGTACTGCCCATTCTTACATATGGATGCCTTGTATGGTGGCGCAAGGGGTTAACAAAAAGAAACTGCTAGCTAAAATGAATACAGTAAAACGATCGCCTTCGATCGTGATAACCGGAGCGCTAAAAAGCACACCACAAGCGGCCTTGAATGTAATCTTGAACCTACAACCATTGGACTCTCTGGTTAAATTCCAGGCTGCTAGATGTGCTATGAGGCTTCGTGAAACGTATGGCTGGAAGTCGCTGAACGTTGGTCACGCTGGTATTCTTGTGACTTCTTGAAGAAGAGTACTCATATCAGTGACTATTTTCCCTCTCAGAGAGACTTTAATGACATCAGAGTAGAGTTTCCTAGTAGGGAATTTTGGACTGGTGGCTCCTTGCCTCTGCCCGGCCTGTCGATTTCTACAGACAGGTCAAAGATGGAGGAAGGCACTGGTGCAGGCATTTACTGCAGGGAACTAGAAATCTATAACTCATATAAACTTAACGATCTTTGCAGGGTTTTTCAAGCAGAAATCCTTGCAATCACGAAAGCGGCTGAAATAGTCAAAACACTTACTGCCGATAATAAAGGACCGATGACTATATATGTCGATAGTCAGGTGGCCCTCAAGGCGTTAAAGTCGTGCACTATTAACTCACAAGCGGTTCGTAACTGTAAAGGCTGCTTTTCATGATATATAACGGATAGTGGGGAAAGGAATGAAATTGCCGATGAGCTTGGAATCATAACAGGTCACTGCAGGATTAGATCTCTCACTTCAAAAAGTGACATCAACGTACTCTATGAAAATATCCTCTGTAGGTGTCCATTGCTGAGTGGCAGTTTGGCAAATATGAAATTCATAAACTAGCATTCTTTTCCGGAATAGACCCCAAGCGGATCCTAAACTTTGTGAAGACTTTGACATGGCTAAAATAACCACTTTTTATAAACTCTCCAACTCCGACTATCTTTCTTCTCTTCGACTTACATCCCTAACCTAACACATGCTGATCAGCCTGTATTGCAGATTACTTCCCATAATCTCACCCAAACATACAACATCCTCAAATTTCTTCCTCATTCTTGGTGCCTTAAATAAATTCATTTTCTTTTTAATAATTTTAAAAATTTCGTAAAGAAATTGTTTCACTTTATTTTCTTATATTTGTTTTTAAAAACTACTATAAATATAATAATAATTCAAATATAATTATAGCAATAATAAGTAAATATATATTTATATATGTAAGTGTACATTATTGAAAATGTTATTTAAAATTTAACAATTAGTTCAAAACTACTATATTTTGATATATGTATCTATATAATTTGTGTTTCAATATAATATAAATTGTTTGTTTTCTACTACTACTATTGAAAAAAAATCTTTCGGGGTTTGAGAGAAAACTTAAAAGAATATTTTGAACTACATTAAAGAACCGCTTCTTCTAAGGGGTCATTCCATATTAAAACTCTCTTACCAGATTTCTTTTCAACTTTCCCACACGATACTTGTCTCATGGTTATATTCTGTTTCAGATGTTAATATTTTACTTCGAACTTAATTTGATATGAATATTTTTAATATATTTTTCTAAATTACGCAGTGACCCATATATGTCTTCTCTATATAATACCGCATAAAAATCCAAAATAACCCAACGCGCATTTCGATAAAAAAATCTGGAAATCGGATTTAAATTTAGATTATAATTTCACTGTATTTTTCGTCAACGAAAATCTAGCAGATTCAAAACACACAAAAATTTTGACTATTTTTGTTTTTACTTTTCCAGAACTGATCGAATTGCAAGTTAGGTTATTTTTTTCTTTTTGACTTTTAATATTTTACTTCGAACTTAATTTGATATGAATATATTTAATATCCTTTTCTAAATAAGGGGATATGATTTGTTCTTTAGGTGGTCGGTGGAAGGCCGAATATCAAATAAGTATTATTCAAAATGTGATTGGTATATTGGCTTACCTTTCAATTAAAATAACTGGCCTCGAAATTGATGATGAAACCAATATCAATATTTTGCCCTCAGGGAATACAGAAGGTATGTCACATACGCCTTCCACCTAATTTTTGAAAATGTATTTTTATTTGGTTTTAATATATATATTTTTTTTAATTTTGAGTAAACATTTTTCTAAATAATTTTTTGTTTAAATTTTTATTATTTATTTTTTTGTTTTTAATTTTTGTTTTGAAAAAAAATTGTTTTCCAAAATTTTTATTTTGTGATTATCAATTTTACTGAGAGTTGTAGAAAATTTGTTTCTCTCTGGAGGGACTGGATTTGATTGTTTTTAAGTTTGTTGTTTATTTTTCAAAATTTTTCTGTTGTGCTATTTTTGTAGAAATTTTATTTGTACTAACAACTATCCAGAATTTAAGAAAAATCCATGTGCTTTTTATAAAATATTTTTTTTATTAAAAATTTATGGTGTCTTTTATTGGTTCTATGTGTTAAATATTTTTGTTGGTTAGTTTATATAAGTTTTGATATGCCACAGTGGGATAAATGCAAGAGAAACTAAATAACACTTTAGAAAAAATCGAAATTACTATACGACGTGACACATTTAGAGAAAATAATTTATAATTCATTTTTGTTCTCAATAAAAATTAGATACTTAAAAAATTCGCAATTACTGAGGGCTTGAGGACATTTTTTCAACAGAACAAAATTCTGAAAGAATACAATGCTGGGGAAATTTTCATAAAAATTCAAGATTATCAAAAGAATTCTGAAGACCCCTTCAATCTATAGATAAATCAATCTTTAGTTACTGAGGACTTCTTTTTGTCTAAGAAAAAAATGCCTCCAAGGAGCACTTTTTCCAATAGAAAAATTCTTATCTATTTTAGTTCAAGTATCTGTTTTTCTAGGGAAAATGCCTCATTTTTTGTGCCGTTAATTTTCCAAATTGTAACTTAGTCTCTTTTGCATTTACACCCATAAATCTAATTTACTTAATTTTTACAAAATTGTAAGTAATGTCTTCGTTGATTGCTTATTTTCATACATATATTTTAATTGACTTATTTGAGGGGGGTTTTGTGTGTGTAGTATATGTGCGCTTTAACTTTAGTGTATTTACCACATGGAATGTTCTTAACTTATTTTCAAATTTTTCTTTTAATTTTAACATTTAAACTTAACAATTAAAATAAGTAACTGTTTTCTAAACAAATACATACATACAGATAGATATAGAATATTTAATTAAAAAAATGCCAGTTTCATTTCGTTTAAGTTGTAACAAAAATTAAAAATATATTTTGCATTTTAAATGCCCATCGGCTTTGTGTGTATGTAAAATAAATATTCAATTTGTTCGCTTTAGCCTAAGAAACTGCAAGGGTTACATAAATCATCTTAAATAATTTTTTTATTATTTTATTTCGAGGGTTGCCTTTTATGGCTAAAACGTGGTGATGTCGGTGGCGGACTATGTTTAACTGGGGCGGTATCAGGACGGCCGGGCATTTTACTGCGCAACATTTGCTCGTGGACATAAAGGAAAACACCAATGTCTCGATGGCCGGCCTGCCAGGCGATTTTAAAGGCTGTGCTGCCGTCCTGGAGGAAATTAAAAAATAATAATTAAAAATATAAAAAATAAACATTTAAATACGTATAAAACACAATCGTAGCACTGTAGCATCCCGATTAATCAATCAAAGGTTCGATTTCGATTAATTTTATCGAGCTTATACTGCAAATCTATTGAATGTAGTCCTACAGTCTTTTTTTATATAAATAAAATTCTCAGTGTTTTAGAACTCATTTTTCTATATAAAATCAGTGCATCAGGCAACTAAAAAATTAAGAAAAATCCTTCTTTTCTTACCGCATCCTGTATCAATGAATCACAATCGGGATGTGTCAACAAATGCTTAACAATATCACTGCGTCCATGTTCGGCAGCACACATCAATGCCGTGCTGCCATCTTCATCTTGTATATTAATATCGGCACCATTGGCCAATAGAAGTTGTACCATTTCCAGGTTACCATGCGATACAGCCAGCATTAAGGCTGTCTGGCAATGCTGTAAAACATAAGAATGAATATATTTTTATAATTTATTTAAATAATAATTCTCATGTTACTTACCTTTTTTGCTCGTATATTGACATCGGCCATTTGAAACAGCCGTTCAACGACCGTACGATGTTCGGGATTTTTCAATTTAGCCAACGAGACGAGCATAACACTAGTATATCCGGCATTATTCATTTGATTTACATTGCAAACCTTTGAATCGAGCAGAATGGAGACAACATCGAAATTACAATGCGATACGGCATAGTGCATGGCTGTGTTGCCCTGGAAAGATTAAAGAAAAAACAATTTTAATTAATTTTTGTTCTCAATAAAAATGTTAAACTTAAAAAACTGAGGATTCAAAAACATTTCGTCAACAGAATAAAGTAGACTGAGGAGTCACAAATACACCATCATACCAAGACGACATTGTCCTTATACATTTAAAGTTTGATAATAGATTAAGAAAGTTCCGATCCCAAGGCCTCTAATTATTCACTTTACAAGATAAGATTATTTCACATGGTTGGATTGGCCTTTCGTTCCTATACTCAATTCTCACAATCGATTTGCTCGTCAGAGCTCTTTGGATCTTCCATGAGAGTTTCCCTTGACTTCAACCCGATTATGCTGGGGAATCTTTCGGGCACAGTATAGAGGCTCAAGGCACGTCTGAGGTATAAATAATATATATTATATAATAACTGATAGAATGCCGCTGGATTGAATCAATACGGTATAATCGATTTAAAATAATCGCATAAAAGTTAACATCACTATTAGTTTAATATTTCTAATAACATGTTAGACTCATTGGTTCGTCCTTACAGACAGGTTTAAATTTTTCGCATTGTAAATCATAGGTGCATATAATACTATCAAGCAACACGGCTCTTTGGAACTATTCTCTAGTAATCATTATTGTTATACACCCCTGGCTCCCTAAATCGAACACTCCCTACATCTCACATTTGCTGTAGAAACAAAAATGACTTAGTTCTGAACTCTTCCTATTCCACGGAAATTTCATTTCATTACATCCCTTATTTTAAAACCAATCTATTTTTGTTCTCAATAAAAATTTCATTAACATATTTTCACTTACATTCGAGTCCACCATATTGACGCAGTATTCCAATAATGGCACCGACAACTCTTCAAAACAATCCAAATAATCTTCTACCTCGTGGGGATTGGCGTTTTCCGAACTGGAAATACGAAACCATTCTTGTTGGATAATTTGCTTGGAGGTTTTCAAGCTCAACGATGAAATGGGTTTGGCACCCATTTTCTTTAACAAGGAGTTATTGATGGACTTGCAAGCAACCAACATGTTTGTTGGCGGTGTGTACCTAAAACACAAAAATTAATTGATAAAATATAAAATGGCAGGAATACTTTGTGTAAACTTACTTCTTCCTCGGCTCTGCTTCACGTGTGGCAATTTTTTGCAGCAATGCCTTGGATGGAGCTTTAGGTTCTTCCTTAGGTGATTCCTCTTCAATTTTCTGGCTGGTTGTTTTCGCCTGACTAGATTTAATGGGTGAGGGCAAGAGTGACGTTTTCTTGCGTGCTCCCTGAGATATTTCTTGTTTGGATGGTTGTGGCTGCTGCACTGCTGTTACTTCCTGTACCTCCTTGGGCTTTTCTTCAACCTGCTCCGGCTCCTCTTCCGTTGTAATGGGTTCAATTTCTGGTAATTGTCTTTCATTACCATTTCCCTCCGTGGACATAGTTACTGTTGGAGCTGGTGAATTATCACGTGACCAACTAATGCTCACACGCTTCTCTTCGCGTACAATGAGCTCATTATCATCGAAATGACTGAGGTCATATAATGATTTACGTTTTGGTGATGTCTCAGGGGATTCTGTGGCATTACCATTGTTATCGGTTTCCTCCTCTTCCAGTGTGGCATTTTCATTGGGTTTCTGTGGTGAACCACCACTGGCCACAGGTTCTGTTATGAAACTTTGAGATTCGCCAGCATTTTCCAATTGATGAAAGACGGAGGGTTTCTCCTGCAGGGAACTATAAATGGAAAACAAAAATATTATTGTTGTGATAGAAAAAAGTTCCGGAAAAACTCATTTACGTCAATAGCAATGCTGAACAGCCACTTACTATCAAAGGATAGCAAGTGAAACTGCCAAGACTCCAAAACATGTGGAATGCAATTGTTTTTCCTCGCAATGCAAATCAGGAATAAAACTTTATAAAATTTATTAAATGTTTTGTTTTTCTCAAAAATTTTGCAAATAAAAACAGGCACTAACACACACACAACAAAAACACAAGCAGCTACAAAGCTTTCCGAACTTAACTAAATATTTACTGCGAAGGTCATTGCTATTGTTTGCATCTTCTTCTTCCTCCTGTTTTGTGTGTGTGTTGAAAATAGCTAGTTCTGGGCCCAAGTTATGATGTTGAATTACAGTTCGAGCATGCGTAGGATGTAAGGGTTGTCGTGGAAAGAATTTAATTGTATTAGATGGGGAAATGAAGCATTTCGTTGTAAATTTCGTTTGGACAAGGAAACAAAGGAATGTTCTAGCACTGAAACAGTCCAATGAATCGAATTTTGTGAATGTTTCATAACGAGTTCGGATCAAGCCACCGGTCTTGTTTAATAACACTGTAATAAAATTATTTTAATCCAAAATAAAATAGTTCAATATCCTTTTGTCAATAAGAAAACCTTGCTTTCAAGCAAATGGTGATTGAATCTACCCCAATATCCCAAGCATCTTGACACTACGGAAACATATTTTGCAAATAGAAAGGACGAAATTCAGATATGAAATTTTAAATGCTTCTCACAAATTGAATTTCTTAAAAATTAAGAAAAACATCTACTAAGTAACGAACTAATTAATTTTTGTTCTCAATAAATTTTCTCAATATTACAAATTCCATTAAAAGCCCGTTTTATATATATATATATATGGTCCTGGCAACTCTATCTCTACCACTCTATACAAAAATTTCATTATTATTGTTTTGCTAATCTCTCCCACCATTTTCAAAACAAACCGCTGTTACACCACGCTCACTTTGCATTGTATTAGGTCAGTGAGTTATTGGGTTACCTTTTACATCACACAACTTTCCCACATATTAATTCAGCAACCTTCAGGTTTGTGTCTTAACTAAACAAACTCATCTACAAATACCTACCTTGCCACATTTTTACGCTCTGCCACGGGTGTGGATGGTGGAGATGGTGTTACTGTATACGTATTTTGCCTTTGAAAAACTCGACGTTGTGGTGTTGGACTTGGCAGTGCCTTGGGACGAGGTATTTTCGATTCTGCTGCCCTACTGGGTACAGGGCTGGCCAAGACCTTCGAGAAATCCTTAGCTAAATTTTTAATGGCATCCTTACAAGAATCACAATAATTATCGGCACATGCAATTGAAATGTGAGGTTTCACAACATCACCACAACCAATATCACGTTTGTGTATGGCTTCAGTATTGGAGGAGGAGTTACTGGTTGTAGCCAAGGGGGCAGTATTTACACCATTGTCCTTGAAATTCTTCACTTCGGTATTGCAACCTTTAGTGAAGACTACAGGTTTAGGGGCTGGCAGGCGTGTTTCCTTCGTGGGAGTTGGTGGGGCAATTTCCTCGGTATTGGTGTGGGAGGTATTCAGGCGTATCAAATCTCGGGTATCGGTTTGTTTGGCACTAACATCAATCGCGGATTGGGTTCCACTACTTTGCATTTCGGGGGAATATTGTAACCCCACAGAATGTACTGTGGCCAAGGAAGTTTGACATCCCGACGAGTGTACCGCCACTGGGGTATATTGAGTCCATTGTGTTTTCTTTTGTATGTTGAGTTTTTCATTATCTCCCAAGGTGAACGTGTTACTACGACCCGGCATTTCTAAGAGTTTCAGGGAGACGGATTTATTAGTTTCTACTGCAGGTTCTTCAGTGCCACAGGCCACATTATGTTTGGTAACCAGACATTTGGGACAAAGGACATCATTAACACTGTGATTAGAACAACCCACTGTTCTGACATCTGGTTTACAGTTGGTATAACTTTCCCTTGTGGCAGGTTGGGCCATAATGCCTACATTATATTTTGTCACTTGTTTTTCTGCCTTTGTTTGGACACCATAATCCCGTAAATCTTTTTTCGGAGTATACATTTGAGTACCCACCGATATAAGATCTTTCAGACGTTCCAATTTCTTTTGTTCCTCATGTTGCCGTATGCATAATTCAATACGTTTCTCCACCTCAATTTTGGTATATAAATTTTCATTGATGTTGGAGGTGACGGCAGCGTTGCAGGCCACATCTCGTGTCGTCTTAAGTATGGGTTGGGGACTTCCAACTGCAATATCTCGTGTTGTTTGTTTGCTACACATAGTACTAACATCTCGTTTTAGAGTTGCTGGAGATTTTGTCAATTTCTCTGATGAGGTTGATGATGTCCTTAGGCGAGCTCCAAGACTTTCCAGCGAAATTGGACTAACACGTTGTGGTTGAAATTGTACTGGTGAGGTTATTTTCGGACTTGGACTGGGTGAAGAGGAGAAACGATTTGCTTCCTTCGCCTTTTGCAGCTCCTCTTCCTTGCGTTGGACAGTTTGTTGCAGACGTTGCTTCTCATCCCGAAGCTGGTTTAATTCGCTCTGAAATGGATAGAAAGGGAAGAGAAAAAAATATTATTTCAATAAAATAGTTTCATATGAAAAATCAATCAACTATTGTTCGCAATAAAACTTTCGTAAGCCTTGAAAAATATCTTTAAATAGTCCACGCCTCAGAATATGTCCCCAGAAAAAAACTTAAAAATTCACTCTTAAATAAATAAATTTTCCCGGATATGAATCTAGTAAAAACTCCCTAAAACCGTCGGTTGAAGATTTTTTGTTTGTACCAAGATCTAGTAAAGATATTCTCTATATAGAGTGTAAGATTTGTACTTTGTTGTCTCTGCGACTTACCTGTAAATCCGGTATAGTTTTAACCTGTTCCTCTAAGTCTTTCATGCGTTTCAAACTCAAAGCCATTTGCTGCCGTATATTGAACAGAGTCTGAGCATCAGCAGCTGGTGTTGTGGGTGTAGTTGTTGAGGTGGCAGTTTGAGTACTAGGTCCCACATTGTGATCGACCGATGTCAGGGTCAATGTACTAAATTTCTCCGTGGTTATTGATTCTTGGCTAGTTTCATGAACATTTGATGACGACGGCAACGGAGATATGGGACTAGTTAATGAGGATTTTACCAACGATTGTTTACGTGGTGGTGGTGCAGGTGGCGTAGCCGTGGGCTGCCCTGTGGAGCTAGGGCTACTGGCATTGCTAACCAATAATTCCTCAACGGGTGATTTGGCATTGGCCGCAACTGTGGCCTTAACATACGACTCATATTGTTGTTCGGCCGGTGAGAGTTTTTGCTGGAAGGGCAGTGGTTTGGAGTAGATGCGCGATGATCTCGGTGATTTGTTGCCGGCAATACAGGAATCTGAAAGGAAAAATTATTTGATTAAAATTTACTGAATATAAAGGGCATTTTTCTTTACAACTTTTTAAATTTTCTTTAACATCGGTACGCTGTATCAAAACAATTCGTATATTAAGTCTTTCCATGGACACAGCTGGCGGCAAACTATTCCAGTTACTTCATCAAACGGTAACAAGCCGCGTTTCTCTCTCTCACTTTTTGGCATTTTGAAAGTAGCAGCTTATTTCCGATTAAATTTTGTACCCATACATATAAAAATGTGGAGATATACATATTTACTTGTTTGTGTTGCTTCCGAATCAAAATGACTACATTAATGCAAAATTTATTCAAATTTTGCCATTCAAATGCTCAAAAAGTTGAACTTGTCTAAATCTGAATTCTCTGGATTTTTGTTTTGTGTAAAAGTTTATAGGGCGGAAATGTGTGTCACCACCACACCACACAAAATTCAAATGCCTTTTTGCCGTAGTATTTCCAACAAACGCTGTTGATAAAACAATTCAACAAATTGTTGTGGTCTTAGCCGAAAAAAAAACACAAAAATAATCGAGTTGGAGTTTGTTTATTTTTCGGTTTCCAAGTTGTTACACTTGACAACTTCTCAGAATTGTTGTTGGTTGGTTGGCGTTTTTTTATTTTTGTTATAAAGAGATTTTTAACCTCTCAATAATGTATAACATTAGATGAGATGATGATTTAAACCCACATGGCAAGACTCTACCATAATTTGGAGAGGAAATAAATTAGATAATTTTATAAGACCAGCTTTTTTATTACATATGATGAGGGCAGTGTAATAATTGTGGTAAAAAAATATATACAAAACCTGCGAGATTTTATTTCAGTATGTAGACGATTTTGAAAGACTGAATTCTACGGATACAATTTTGATATATGTTTTGTTGAACTAATTAATTTTTGATTTCAATAAATTTTATGTTATAATAATGAGTATGGATCTGATAGTTCTTCAATCATAATAGTCCACTTCCCTATTGCCTTTGACAAAAAAATCGATAAATGCAAGGTTGATGATCTACTTCTAAAATACCTTCATACTTATAAGTAATCAATTTTTGTTCTCAATAAACTTTCCGCGGGTATAGAACATGAAAAACCCCCTTCGAGTCCTATTTAAAACATTGTTCTGTTTATGAAATAAAGTTCTTCCTTGAATTGATTACAAACCGTAGAAGATCTTTGGAAAATATTTCTGCTAAAGACCTTCTGAGAGTTATATTCTATTTTTAGAAGATATTTTCTAAGTTAGGTTCCCTATAAAAGAATGTTCTTCAGTTGTTCTGCCTGCTTTAGAAGATATTCTATAAATTTATAACATCTAATTTTCGGTCCTTAGTTTATCTAATGAATGTTTTATTGTATAGGGAATTAATGTGTATTTATTTGAGGGTCTTTGAAATACTTTAAAACTTTTCCTCGAGTAAAATACATTCCATATGGCACGTAAAAAGAATAAATTTTTTGTATGGATAGAGATTTCCGACAAATATATTCAACCGGAGAAAACCATTTTACTGTAAAAAACTTCCTGACCTTCAATGTTACAACCGCTGGTAGGGTATTTTCTCATTATTTTGAACTTTATTTTATTATTTATTTGTTGCCATGATTTGTTAATATGTTCCGCTACTGTCGTCATATGTCGGGTGCTAGTACACAATTTTTTTGGAAGGGGTTTTTTTGAGTTAAATTGACTTTGAGAATTGATATCACTCGAGCAGAAAAATTTGCCTTCAGCAAAAGCTAGCAAACAAGAATTGCAAAGTGTCATGAATTTATTGGAGTATGCTTTTGATAATTGTGCGAAATAAATGCGGTAAATAACAGACAGGTAACCAAGCCCCCAAAAAGAATAAATAAAATATACCCAAATAAATGATAAGAATTGCCGTTACTAATTAGGTGAGAATTTTATCAATTATTATTGAAATTAGTTTTGATTGTGACAGAAGCATATCTATTTTGGTTGGATAACGTAATTTTGTATGAGAAATTTATTAGAGTCAAATTTATTTAGAAATAAAATAGCAATATAAGTATAGGAGGGAAATATTTTAAAAGGATATGTTGCAACTGGGTTATAATAAAGTGGTTACTCAATCCTCTAATTGGAGTTTCGAAAAATTACGAATCAATTTTTGTTCTCAATAAATATTATATAGGTTCTCCAGTCAAGAATATCATTTCCCCGATGAACTGTAACAATTACTAATGTATTTAGTTTATTTTAATCCTCACAGGTAACCAGATTTGGTATAATTCCCTTCTAAATCTACGTATTATTTTATTTTCAAAATGAAGAAATAAAAATAAATCGTTTTAAAACTACTAAAATCATATTTATATGATTTTCATATAGAGTCATCAAAATTTCATAAACATATTCTCCAGTTAATCTTTTGCTCATTAAAAAACTTGAATCCAACAAAACAAACCATATGGTCATTATCAACCAATCATTCGACAACAGAACATAATCTTCTTAAATACCCACAAACATAAATTACCATGAATCATAAATATTAAACAAATATTTATGGATTTTGCAAAAATTAACATTAAATCTTCTTTAGTTCGATGACAGATGAAATAAAGCGGAAAATAGGCTTTTAAAGTAACATATAAATGGATATAGGAATATTAATTGGCTATGTTTTTATTCTTAACGTGAGTTAGACGTCATTTATGGTTAAGTAAATATTTCGACTTTCGATTATTTTATAAACATTTTCAATCAATGTTATAGAGTTAAAGTTCATTTTATTGAACAAAATGTGTATATTAGGCCATTTAATACTTATAAATGGGATTATATGATTTATAAGAGTTATGCCATTTCAGTTTATAAAAAATGTATTTTAGACGGTCAACGTAATTCTCCTAATGAAGCCAATGAATTGTGAATTATTCTGGATAAAACAATCAAATTTTGTTCTCAATAAATTGTTCATTGATTCTTCTGGAAGATCCATTTTGTTCACAATAAATTTTACCCAGGGAATAAACAGGAAATCGGTTCATGAAAGACCTTGATCCTTCAGATGATATAATCGATTTTTGCCTAAAATGCTTTCAAATGAAAAACAATGAATTCTTATTCTGTCGACAGAAAAAAATAATAAATTTTTGTTTTCAATTAAGATATACCCAGAAATATTACTTTGAAAGAAACTATATTAAGGAAAATTGTTGAGATTTTTACTTGCAAATTTCTAGGGACTTTCTTGAATTAGTGTAGATTCGAATTCGAAAATACAAAATTAATAATTTTTTTATGCAGACAGATATACTGATTATTGCTTTATATTATTCCCGTATGAAAAATCTATCAATTAGTGTTCTCAATAAATTTCATCCAGACATGGAAAAGGTTATTTAAGCTCTTTGACCCTTCAAATGATACATAAATTGTTAGTGAGTTTTATTAGCTTCAAGCTTAAAGATATCTTCGTATCCTGAATTATGATAATTAATATGAAATCAATTTTTGTTCTCAATAAATATACTCCAGTTATGAAACTGACTAAATTAAAAGTACAAAATAACACATACGGCATTTTAAAAGGGTTTTTTATGTATCATATCTTACAAAATAGGCACCGAAAGCTCAATATAACGGGAGACCACAGTTTTCTAAGAGAGAAAACATCCACAAAGAATTATCCTGTATATAAAACAGACTTCTTCAAAGATATTCCAAATGTCTTCTAAAGGAATTTATCATTTTTTAAATGTGTTCTCAAAATTTTATAAAATTTCCATAAAAGAGGTCTATAACCATAATAAATTGTGAATAAGTCAAGAAGTTTTCCAAGCGTTTTAAATACAATTTTCAACACCTACAGTTTTTTGTTATGGCTATACGTGGAAAGCGTTCCCAATTATTTACCCACTAGAATTTTCAAAATTTAATACATAAAATCCAAACACTTACATTCTTGCCACCAAGATTTATGCCAGGGTATTTTTGATTTCCTTCGTAATGTGACCCCTTCAACTGAAGATTCATCAACCCGAAGGCGTTGGGGTGAACGTTTCTTTTGACGTTTCTTAATTTTATTCGCCGACGAAAACATGCTCAACTCTTATCAGTTTTGCGTTCAATTCGAAAATATATATTTATTTTTACATTGTGGAATTATAAAAATTTCATAAAAAGTGTTGGATTGTTTTAAATATTAGCTCAGTATTGTTTGCAAATTTCAAAATTTCTTCAACAATTTTTTTCTCTTTTTAGTTTTGTATATTTTTTCGGTAGAAAACTTATTAATTCAATATATTGGATTATAAATTTTGTATTTTGTTTTATTATAATAAATTTCTATTTTTTTTTAATTTGGTTAGATACTTTGAGTATTATTTTTGTCACCAATTTCCGTTAGAATTTGTTTCGAAATTCTTTTATTTTTCCAATTCGCGCCATTTAATAATTTTCTATATAATTTATTTCAAAATTATTTTGCTCAGAATTACACGCTCGTTTCGAAAGTTTTCTGCAAACTAAATCACTTGAAGCGAACAGATCTGTAAAAAAATCTCGACTTCAGACACAAAAAAATCTCAAAACCCCACAGCACCACAACAGTAGCACAATTATTGATGAGATGGAGATGGTAGACTAAATAAGTATAGGAAAATTTACTTGAATCTTCTTCGTTTTTTGTGTTGATTATTATTTCCAGTTGTTTGAGGATTGCCTATTTTGACAACCCCGGAATTTGTCCAATATGCGATTAAACAAACTCCTAACTCAAGGGTTCGGCTTGAATATGTCAAATGTACTTACTCCGTGGTTCAGTGTGATTTGTTCCAAAGGGGCACTCAATATATGGTTTGTCCAAAGGGCAACCAAGTCTTCCTCTCGAGGCAGCAATAATTTCGTCCCAAGAATCAAAATCCTCCTCAGAGTAAGCTTTTCCTTCATATATATATTTGTCCAACAACAGGGCAAGTTGTTTGTCTGCAGCACTGATTTCCTCCGATCGTTGGACTTTTATCAATTCTTCCACAAATTGCCTTAATGAGTAAGGCAGTACAAATTTCGAATATAATTTTGTTTCAGGAACAATTTATTCTTTGCTCACGAGCAAGATATTTTAATTATTTTTCCTTTATTTAAATATAATTTATTAAAATGTTGCACTTTGAAATTATTTCACTCAACAAGTGTGTTGGGTAAAATTTCTTTATATTTTGCTTTCTTTCCCGTCACCAATGTTTTCAATAAAACAAACGTCTTTCGTCTTCAGCAGTTTCAAATATTAATGTTTTATTGTTCTATTTATTATTCTGGTATACCAACCAGGATAGCGGGACAATATTATTTACATTGCCCAGCGGCAGAACGATCGACAGAGGCAGAGAAAAAGAATAAGTAAATAAATGTATGTACGTATGTACATACATTCCTCTGTTTGATCGTTCGACTGTTGTTGCGTGTAAACAACAACAATAAGTGTTATTCTCTTTGTGCGGCGAATTCAAGTACATCACACAAAGAGGAATAACAAAAAGGGCATTAGGGCGGCTCTCGTTTGGTGCAAACATATTATTATAGCATTACAAACAATCGTGAAAATAAATTAATATAATTTACACTAATTTAAGTATTTTTTTAAATAAAAAATGTAACACAATTTTATGAATAAAATTAAATGACCCTTGAGCCAGAAAATATTAAATAAATTTAATAAGAATAATTAAAGGGATTTAACATGCCGGGCCCCATTGAAACCTCCGGTTTCAATCAAATTTTCATCTTGGAGTAAAACAGCTAATTTTGCGATTGGACGTCGAAATGTTGAATGTGGTGTTTTTATTTCGGCCACTCGAGCAAAGCCATCTGCCCCAGGGACAATGTGTGTGACACGACCAAGAACCCATTTCATCGGAGCGACATTGTCTTCATGAACAATCACCAAATCATTGACCTTCAAATTTTGTTGCGGTTTTTTCCAACGATAGCGATTTTGAAGTTGAGCAAGATATTCGATGTGCCACCTGCGCCAAAAATGAGACTTTATTGCTGAGATTCTCTGCCAGTGTTGCAAATGAGATATCTCCGAGTCAAAGTTTGTCTTCTCTGGAACACTTTGCAGAGGGCAACCTATTAATAAATGCCCAGGAGTAAGAGCTTCCAAATCGTTGGGATCCGTTGATAACGAGCCAATGGGACGTGAATTTAAAATTGCCTCAATTTCCACCAGGGCTGTTGATAACTCTTCAAAAGTCAGTCGAGCATTATGTAGCGTTCGGAACAAGTGACCCTTTGCTGATTTTACGGCCGCTTCCCATAATCCGCCAAAATGAGGGGCCCTGGGAGGAATGAAGGAAAATTCAATAAATTTTGTTGAAGCGAAATCTGCAATGGCTGCCTTATTTGCCTCCTGATGAAAATGGTGGTGAAATTCATTTAATTTCCTCTCAGCGCCAATGAAATTGGTGGCGTTGTCGCAACAAATTTTGGTAGGAACACCTCTGCGACCAATGAACCGCTTTAAGGCTGCTATAAAGGCTTCACTGGACAAGTCTGAGACCGCTTCAAGGTAGACAGCCTTTGTAGCAAAGCACACAAACACAGCTATATATGATTTATATGGACCCTTTCCGCGGATCTGAGGTATGTGGGTATAGGGCCAGCAAAATCGACTCCAACTACTTCAAATGGACGAGAGCCAGTTACTCGATCCTTGGGTAAGTTACCCATCACTTGGGTCAGCAATTTTGGTTTGTACCTCGAGCAATGTATGCAGTGATGAACCACTTGTTTTGCCAAAGACCGGCAATTAATTATCCAGAATTGTTGTTGTACCAAAGACACTAAGGCCCTAGGGCCAGCGTGGTAATTTGTACGATGGATATGAATTATCATATTTTTAACAAAGGGGTCAGTTTTTGGTAGGAGCAAGGGAAATTTGGCATCTGTAGTTAGATTTGAATTCAACAACCGACCACCTACACGGATTAACGTCACTCCAGCAACTTCTTCTATAAACGGAGCCAAAGATGACAGTTGACCAGAAACAGAGCCATGTTTTGAGAGTTCCATAAATTCCTTTGTAAAATAGTGCTGTTGAATTAGCCATACAATTCTGTGAAGAGAATGTTTCAATTC